GTCTTGGCAGTGAGTTTTTTGGATTCAGCACCAAAAGCAAAAATAAACAAGTGGGATCACTTCAAAGTAAAAAGCACAGCAAAAGAAAACCATCAACAAAATGAAAAAAGTAACCTAAGGAATGGTAGAAAATATTTGCAAATCATAAATCTGATAAGGGGTTAATATCTGAAGTATAGGAAGAACTTACACAACTCAATAGCAAAAAAATCAGACAGTCCAATTAAAAATTGAGCAATGGAGCTGAATAGACTTTTTTTTTTCAAAGAAGACATACAAATGGCCTACAGGTATACAAAAAGGTACTCAACATCACTAATTATCTGGGAAATAGAAATCAAAACTACAATGAGTTATCATCTCAACACCTGTTAGAATGGCTGTCATCAAAAAGATGGGATAACAAGTGTTGTTAGTGAGGGTGTGGAGGAAAGGGAACCCTTGTGCACTGTTGGTAGGAATGTAAATTTAGTGCAGCCACTATGGAAAACAGTGTGGGGGTTCCTCAACAAAATAAAAATAGGACTGTCATGTGATCCAGAAATCCCACATCTGGGTATATATCCAAAGGTAAAGAAAAGAGGATCTCAGATGCTGTTCATTGCATCATTATTCACAGTAACCAAGACCTGAAAACAACCTAAGTGTCCTTCAACAGATAAATGAATAAAGAAGATATGGTATATATACACAATGGAATATTTAACTATGAGAAAGGACATCCTAGCATTTGTGACAAAATGGATGGACCTCGAGGGCATTATGCTAATAAGCCAGAGAAAGACTAAGTACTCTATGATTTCACTTAGATGTGGAATCTAAAGGGGCACCTGGGTGGCTCTGTCTGTTAAGCATCTGCCTTCTACTCAGGTCATGATCTTGGAGTCCCAGGATCGAGCCCCGTGTCAGGCTCCTTGCTCAGAGGGGAGCCTGCTTCCTCCTCTCCTTCTCCCCCTGCTCTTGCTCTCCCTCGTTCTCAAATAAATAAATAAAATCTTAAAAAGCTGAATTCATAGAAACAGATTAGTGGTCAGTAGGGGCTAATGGTTGAGGGAAAAGGGAAGATGTTGGTCAGAGAATACAAACTTCCATCTATATGATGATAAGTTCTGGGGATCTAATGTACAGCATAGTGATTATAGTTAATAATACTGTATACTTGGGGCGCCTGGGTGGCTCAGGCGTTAAGCATCTGCCTTTGGCTCAGGTCATGATCCCAGGGTCCTGGGATCAAGCCCTGCATCAGGCTCCCTGCTCAGCGGGGAGCCTTCTTCTCCCTCTTCCACTCCCCCTGCTTGTGTTCCCTCTTCCCTGTCTCTCTCTCTCTGTCAAATAAATAAAATCTTTAAAATAAAATACTGTATACTTAAAATTTGCTAAGAGATCTTAAATGTTCTTACCACAAAAAAGAAATGGTAATTATGTGTGATACAGGTGTTAGCTAATGCTATGGTTATAATTATTTTGTAATTTTAAAAAGTAAATATATATCTCCATTTTATAGAAAAGTCTCAGAAGTTAAATAAGTTTCTGAAGAACATAGCTGCTCCTCACTATATCATTCTTATTCCTACCTTCCAGCATCCCAAAACATGTTGAACAGATGATGATCCATGATTCTAATCCTCAATTTGCTATTTCCGTCTACTTTCAGCAGTTAGAGGCTCTCTTCCCCAACCTTACACTGTCTTTCCATAACTGTTGTTACTTGTATTCTCTTCCTTCTTCACTTTTTCTGTTTTTCTGTCTTTGGTATACTTGGCTTTTCAGCAAGAGTAGATGTCACCTGGCTGTCTGTGCTGGTATTCAGGGAGCAGCTGCTTGACTGCCTCAAAGGGAAAAAAAAAAAAGAGAAAGATGTCTTTGTGACAACTTGTGTCTTTAGAGCTTTCGCAGAAGACTGAGGGTTCTAGAATGCTGGGTTTGAATAGGAAAGCTTGATTAGAACTTTGGTTCTGCCTTACCATGTCAAGGGTGCTTTATCCACCTGAAAGACTGGCTTGTTTTTATTGTTAGGTAGAAATGAAAGAAAAGAAATAGTTGCCCATCCAACTCACTATGAATGTTTAAATTAGGATATATGAAATACTCATCTCTTCTGAACTATAATGTAAATGTAGGTTACAACGTAGGACTTTGTGGTACATGTTAAAATGTATTTAGTGGGAAGCAACCATAGTGGACTTTAACCATTTTTGACAATTAAAGTAGATGTTTGTGTTTTTGTCTTAAAATGGAATCAGACTTTCAGAGTTTTAGATCTATGATCATTTTAAGTATTGGGAAAGTACAGCCTCCTCTGTTCCTTGCCCAGGGCTACATGGTAGCTGTGGGACACTTTTACCTAGATTTCCTGATTTGGTGGAAGGCTTTTTCTTTTAAGACATTCTGGCTGCCCTCATGTAGGAATAATTTTTCAGATTTTTTTTCTTACTGTTAGAAGTTAATTTCAAATGAGAGTTTCTCAGGTGTATAGATTTAATGAAAGATGGATGGAAGGATTCAGCTGTAGAAGATTTTGCTTCCATCTTTACTGGAGAGAACTTAACAATGTTTTATTTTTACTCTATAACTTTCTCTTCAAAACAGATACCAAAAAATGGGCATAAATTTTTTTCTTTGGTATATTCATATGTATATGGTTGTTTATTCTAACTTAGTTTGTCTTTTTTAACTTTTTTTTCCCCAAAGATTTTATTTATTTGAGAGAGAGAGAACACACACGAGCAGGGTGGAGGGGCAGAGGGAGAAGGAGAAGCAGGCTCCCAGCTGAGCAGGGAGCCCAACATGAGACTTGATCCCAAGACCCAGTGATCATGACTTGAGCCGAAGGCACATGCTTCATAGACTGAGCCATCTAGGCATCCCTGGTTGTTTTTTTTTTTTTAACTTTTTAATCTTATTACTAAGTAATAATAGAGGTATTACTTCTATCTTTTTAACATTATGTGTGGCTAGGGCTTTGGAGTGACATATTTAGGCTTCAGTGGCTGTGGAAACACTCTATGTACATACACTGTTACCATCTTTCAGTAACTATGCTGGATGTCCAGCCAGTAGTTTGGTGAATTGACTAAGCTGTGGGAGGAGGTCAGGAGCCTTTGTCATAAGTTCCAGCTTAACATTTACTAGTGACTGGGCAAATCACTAGCTTTGGACATTCAGTTTTTTGGTTTATAAGTTGGGGTAATAAAGTCTGCCCTAACCACCTTCATGGAATTCTATTTAATTAAAATACTTTTTTAGGTGTGCATATAGAAAGAAGCACTTTATAAATGGTAGTATACTCTAATGTGGAGACTTTAAAAGATTTATTTATTTTTATTTGAGAAGCAGAGAGAGTGAGCCAGAGGGGCAGAGGGAGAGGAAGAGAGAATCTCAAGCAGACTCTGTGCTGAGCATGGAGCCTGACGGGGGGCTTGATCTCACGACCCTGAGATCACAACCCCAGCTGAAACCAAGAGTCAGATGTTCAACCGACTGTGCCACCCAAGCGCCCCTAATGTGGAGATTTTTAATGCCACTGTCATCCAGAGGAAGTATGTTTGGATTAATGATGTGACTTTAGAGAAGATGTAGAGACAAAATTAGAGGTGAAAGACCTAGTTGATGAAAATGTATGCTAATAAAATAGAATGGAATCAGAGCTACTATATGGTCCCAAGGAACCAAGTTTTCTAATTTTTGGCTTAGTTTTGTTTTTTGTTTTTTGTTTTTTTTTTAAGAGAGGGGAAGGGAGAGAGAGTCTTAAGCAGGCTTCATGCCCATGCTCCATGGGGACGCCATCTCCCAAACCTGAGATCATGACCTTAACCGAAATTAAGAGTCAGACGCTTAACTGACTGAGCCACCCAGGTGCCCCTTGGCTTAGAACTTTTACACCTTATTCTGTAACGTAGGTCTGTAAACAGTATTGCGGGAATCATGTGATCCAGAAAAAAATTTTATTTTCTTCATTTTTATATTGACCTCATGAACTGATTGATCTTCACATATTTTACTAAAACTGATTTATATCAGTGAATATGGAAAAGAAAGAAAAACTGAAGTACCAAGCACTGTACTAGATACTTTCAGGTCTATTACTTCTCTTGATTCTCAAAACTACTTTATAAAACAATATTATTAACACCTGTTTTGTAAATGAGGCAACCAAGGCTTTACAGTGTCATTAATTATGCATATAAAATCATCTACCTGCCAAGTGATGAACCTGGCATTCAAGCCCAGGTCTGTCTGTAACTTGAAATTCCATACATTGTTTAGTATTGGATATGGTTGAAGAAGGGAAGCAGTAGAAGTATCAAAATGAAATTTAACTGTATAAAATATTGTGTAAAGAGTAGGATTTATATAAATTATTACAAGTTATGAAAATAGCATATGACTTTTGTATTGCATTAGTTAGAAATTTACCTTGATGATATTTTGGCATTACTTATTTCATTGAATATAATTCAAGATACAACATTGAAATCAGTATGATGTCCTGTTTATTTTAAATACTGTTAGTGTATTAGTTAATTGTCAGTGTCTTTTGTTCCTTAAGATGAATTTTTGAAGTTTTATATAAATGAAATTAGGAGTCAGATCTAATCTGTATGGCCAAAAGGAATTGCTACTTAAATTCTGTGTTGAATATTTTTGAAAAAGCAAATAAAGAATGTACTTGTTATCTATATACATTTGGAGGCTTACATGATTTTAATGTAAGTGGGATATACTTTTTTTATTATTAAAGATTTTATTTATTTATTTGATAGAGAGCACAAGCAGGGGGTGTGGTGTGGCAAGCAGAGGGACAGGGAGAAGCAGACTCCCTGAGTATCAGGAAGCCCTGTGTGGGGTTCCACCCCAGGACCCTGGGATCATGACCTGAGCCAAAGGCAGACGCTTAACCAACTTAACCACCCAAGCACCCCTGGGATATACTTCTTCATGTATTGGAAGTTTAAATGCTTTTGAGAATTGTAATAGAACTGTTCTTTTGTTTTTGTTAGGTGTTAGACAAACCCAGTAGGCTAACTGAAAAGGAACTTGCTGAGGCTGCAAGCAAGTGGGCTGCTGAGAAGCTAGAGAAGGCAGATGAGAGTAACTTACCTGAAATTGAGTATGAGGTAAGGCATAATTTCCCCTTGATGTTTCACATGAAGAGTTTTGTCTGGATCTTAAATTATGGGTGGGAATTGTTTGATTTGTTCTAGTACTTTAAAATATATATGGGGAAAATAGCCTCATGGATTATTAGCATTTACCACACAGAGTAATAGTATGAATATGAATGATTCTGAGTTCAATAATTGAACTATACCTGAATTTCTCCAGCAGTGTAGAAGTGAGAGAATAGAATAAATAGGGAGGATATGGAAAATGCATTATTTATCCTTTTATGGGCTTTGCTGTTAAAAGTATCTCTAGAAATCATGGTAAGCCACTGGTCATAAACCAGTGAATTTAGAATAAGAATCTACTTAGACCTTGGATCTTGGGCTAAATTTATATAACATGTTATATTCTATGGAAATTATCTCATAAATATCCCAAGAAATGAAATGACACGTTGTTTGAGTTACCTGTGATCTTTGATGAGTCTTGAGTACTAAAAGATGAGAGCATTTTTGGGTCCATAAAATACTGTTTATGAATTTTTGCATTAAAACATTTGAAAATGAACTCAAACTTTTCTGTATAACCTATAACATCTCTAACAGGGAAATATAGATGTTTCATTGGCAAAATTAAGCTTTTAGACTCAGGAATTGGTGCTAAAGGAATTATTTTGGTACGATAGGCAGAGAATATAAAAAATCTCTGTACCATGAGAGATTATGTAGATTTGAAAATTTATGGCTTTTCAATACATTTTAAGATACCTTTTATAGAAGGCCCTTTGATAAAATGGATCAAGCATTAGAATTTGATCTAAAACATATATACCTACATAAATCTTTATGTACCTACAAAAATCCTTTCCAAAATAACTAATGTACACTGCTCATAGAAAGCACAAACCACTATAAACCCTATCAGTACGTAAACAAAGCCCCTCTTTTTTAAAATGCTGATCTGTCATTTAGATATCAATTGTTCTTAAATCGGTCAAGGTTTCCTTGTTATGTACCTATAATAGTAGGTATTTATACATATTCTTGAATGAATATATCAACATCATCTAGCTGTCCCTTTTTGGCACCTTTCCATCACTATTTAAAAGCATGAACAATAAAGTAATTTATAGGGCCATTTTGTTTATTTTCTTAATAATTAGAATACTGGTTTTTATATTAATAATAGGTTTATATACTTCAAAATTGCTATTTTGGAGAACTGATCATTTTTCTCAGAGTACTTAAAAACTTCCAAAAATACCACTTTCTTGTTTGCTTAATACTTTTCAGTTAGCAAGGCTTTATTAAGATATATTCATCTTTTCCCCATCACTTTTTATATCTCTTAATTAAAAAAAAAAAAAAGTCCTCACTATCTACCTTCCCCAGATTTTAAATATTTTACTTACTGCTTGAGTGGATCTTGAGTCTTAATAGTCAGTGACATTGGGTCAAGAAAGACTTTCTTTTTAACCTCCTTATTTTTTTCTCTTAAAAATGCATAGGATTTGCTAGGTTTTGAATTAATACATAGCACTAACAACCTATAAGTGGGGTGATAGGTCAGGCACGATCTTTTGTTGAACCAAAGGCAAGGTGAGTGAGGGTAGGATTGAGATCTCTTTGATATGTTTGTTACATGGTATACATCATTAATGTTGAGCAACAACATCAATTTCATAGCACTGTCTAAAATGTTTTTCAAGTTAGATTGATACTTTCTTACACTGGAAATAAAGCATTTGGGAAATTTTTATGATATTCTTGTTCTTTTATTTAAAAACCTAACCCCACCTCAGCTTATTAACGCTTTGCTCAGATAGTAACATTTGTTCTCAGGCAATTGTTAAATAGTTACTCATTTCAGTGATCTATGCTTTTTGAGAAATAGAATTTTGACTTTGATTCTGTAAACTCATATCTGATTTGACAGAATAAGCTGGAAGGAGAAAAGGACTTTGATGCTAGGAAAGAGACTGGCATAATACTGTGTGTGTGTGTGTTTAAATGTACTTGTGGCAGTATTTTTATTTTAGTTTTTTTTTTTTAAGATTTTTTTTAAAGTAATCTCTACGCCCAACATGGGGCTCGAATTTAGCAACCCTGAGATTAAGAGCTGCATGCTCTACCAACTGAACCAGCCATGTATGTACCCCTTTATGTTAGTTAAGTAATGGTCCATGTACTTCAGAAACATTGTATAGATTCATTTTTATGACTAGAGAGAGATTAAATATTTAGTTTTCCTGTTTATCTTCTCTTGCTGCCGTGAATATAATTTTAAGCAATTCAATTGGGAGACCATGTCATTTACAGAAACTTCAGTGAAATTGAAGATACATTCAGTGACATACTTAGATATCCAAGAATGTTGTAATTCAGTTTACTGTTCAGTTTTATATTTGGGCTCCAATAGAGAATTTCTCAAAGTATTTGATGGAATACTAATTCTAGAGAGTCTTAACGATCTGAGGGGAAAAAAAAATTCTATTAGCCAGTATGTTTGGGAAATGCTAGATTTAAAAGAGGTAGGTTATTTTGATATTGCAGCACTTTTCAGAGATTTTAATATGTTAATATGCTCATCAGTGGTCTCTGAAGGAAGATAAATAATAAAATTTGCATAATTTAGCAGACTTGACTATGAAATTCCTCACAGTGTATATTTTAGGAGTAGTATTTTAAGTTACATATTTTCAGAAAATAGTACCATACTGGCTTTCTCATAATTTATTTAAATTCACTGAATACTCATTCTCCATCTTCTTGTGTCAAATACTGCATTAGAGACACCGTCCTAGCTGTCTGGGAGCTTGCAGTCAAATTTTGTAGAGACGTAGTTTACCATCCTCAAACAAATAGCCATGTAGCTTTTGGCTCTCAGAGTGAAAAGCAGATTACTTGGAGGCAGTACCTGTCCCAGTAGAACAGGTTGCTTCTTCCTATAGAAGAAAATTTTGACATTTTTCTTAAGTGTAAATATATGATTTATGTTGTTAAGTCATTTTCTACTTCATTATCTCTGCTTACTCTTCTCCAATGTAGAATACCCATCTTTTGTGGCCTTCTTTCTAATTCATATTCATTCAGTGGAATCAGTAGTGTTTGAGACAAGACTCAAGATCTTTCTTGATTCTGCTTTCTTCCCCTTCCTATTTTAAAATTTTATGCTGCTTTGTCACTGATGAACTTATTATTGCCTTTTTGTTTTTACTTGTATAGTTATATGTACACTGAATGCATCTCAAGCACTTGTCTTGTTTTCCCTCTACAGTACCTTGAATGATATGTATCTAATTAGCTTAACCTAATTTAATTGTTAATAAGCCCTTTTAGTATCAGCTCAAGTTATTTTTCTCTTCTTGCTATTTGTTTTCCAAAAACGCATTATCTGCTCTGATGTGCTTTCTGACCTCCTCAATTTATATTTTTGTGTGTCGCCCTGGAATTATGATGAAACCTGATGAAACCTGAAATTCCTATTTCCAACGTGCTTTAAACTTTTTTTTTTTTTTTTTTGCATTAACCTAACTCAAATGGAATCTAATGGCAGATTTTGATCTTGGGATTTAGTCAGAACTGGTAGTATAAGTTATCCAACTTCCTTAACGTCATTCAAAACTAATTGTTGTTTGCCTGGTGTTAGAAACCTGATATTGATACTGGGGTTTCTATCTTAAATATCTTTAACATAAAATTTACTATCTTAACCATTTTTAAGTGTATAGTTCAGTGGTATTAAATACATTAGCATTATTATACAGCCATCCCCCACCATTCATCCTCATAACTCTCTTCACTTTGTAAAACTGAAACTATACCCATTAAATGATAACTCCCCAAAGCAATTTATCCGTAGATCTTCCCAGCCCCTGGTAACCACCATTATGTTTTCTGTCATTAAGATTTTGACTAAGTGTCTCATGTAGGCAGAATTGTACAGTATTTATCTTTTGTGATTGGCTCCTTCATTTAGTATAATGTCCTCAAGGGTCATCCATGTTGTAGCATATTACAGAATTCCTTCCGTACTAAAGCTGAATAACATTCCATTGTGTGTTCCATTTTGCTTATCCATTCATTTGTCAGTAGACACTTGGATTGCTTCTGCATTTAGCTATTGTGAATAATGCTGCTATGAACATGGGTATCCAAATATCTTCAAGACCCTGCTTTCAATTCTTTTGAGTATATATTCAGAAGTGGAATTCCTGGACCATATGGTAATTCTATTTTTAATTTTTTGAGGAATTTCCATAGTGTCTTCCATGGTGACTATACCATTTTATATTCCCACCAGCAGTGCACAAGAGTTTCAATTTCTCCACATCCTCACCATCACTTGTCATTTCCTGGGTTTTTGCTAGTAGCCACCCTAGTGGGTATGGGGTGGTATCTCATTGTAATTTTGATTTGCATTTCCCTAATGACTAGCGATGTTGTTTTTTCTTGTGCTTAATGGCCATTCGTGTATCTTCTTAGAAGAAATATTTAAGTCCATTCCTTATTTTTTAATTGTTTCCTTGTTGTTGAGTTTTACAAGTTTTTCTGTATATTCTGTATATTAACTCCTTATCAGATATGTGATTTGCAGATATTTTTCCCATTCGGTGGGTTACCTTTTTACTCTGTTGATAGTGCTATTTGATAAGCAAAATTTTAAATTTTTCATTAAGCCCAATTTTTGTTTTTTCTTTTGTTACCTGTGCCTTTGGTGTCATGTAGAAGAAATCATCAGCAAATCTCAAGTCATGAAGCTTTTGTCCTGTGTTTTCTTCTAAGAGTTTTGTTATTTTAGGTGCTACATTTAGGTCCTTGATCCCTTGTGAGTTAATTTTTATATATGGTGTTGGGCAGGGGTCCAACTTCATTCTTTTGCATGTTGATATCCAATTTTCCAGTATCATCTGTTGAAAAGGCGGTAGTTTTCCCATTGTATGGTCTTGGCATCCTTGTTAAAAATCATTTAACATATATGTGAAGACTTATTTCTGGGTGCTCTTTTCTAT